TCTTAGGGACTAAAAAGGTTTTAGCAAGACATTAGCCTGAGTGGCTCTTGCCTGCCAGGCTATGGTCCTCCCGGTGAATCCCTTGGCCATTTGGTGTTGGCGCAACACCTTGCGATTGGTCTTGGATTCCATTGGTGTCGACTCCTTAAGCCACTGCGCCCGCAGTGGCTTCGCCGTCCAGCAGAGACCCATGTAGTGCCACGAGAGATGTAGCCGATGGGTCGCAAAAGCGGCGGTTTGGGGCGCCTCTTCAAGCGGAGTTCGCCTCGACTCAGTGGCTGAGAGCACAAGACTCAGTGACTTGGGGGCAGAGGTCTGAGAATCTGAGCAGAGGTCTGAGCCTGTGGAAGGCTTGGCTCTCAGTTCCAAACGGCTCTCCCTAGTCAGTCGGTTTCACCGAACGAAGGAACCGTCCAATGGCGCCCCAAACAGGATCGCGAAGCGAATCGCGAAAACTCATGCGTACGGAAACCGGTACATGATGATGATGATGATGATGATGATGATGATGATGATGATGATGATGGTTGATCATGTAAGATGCAACATTACTACCGACAAACACCAAACAGTAATACACAGTCACGCCATTTATGTAACGCACTCGTCTCCCAAGTTATACCATGAAGTCGACGCCTTCTGCCTCAGCCGTTGCTCTTCAGGGCATGTTTGGTGCTGTGGGGGCTCCCAGACGGACCACGCTGGGGTCCTCTAATTCTGTCTAATTCATTCGCGAAGAACTCATTCACTCATTCATGTATATTCATATTCATCTCGCTATTTTTCTGGAGATGCCCCTTCGGTCCAGTCGACAGCTGTTCGGAAGCAGCTGAGTGACTCGGGTAGAGCGTGATCGCAAGCAGCAGACAGAGGAATATCATGGAATATCATTTTCTTCACCCCTTGGTGACGTTTGTTGGAGTATAAGTCTATGTGTATCCCGTTTAGATTCATATAGATCATTTCATAGATGCCAGCTTGTACTATGCAGGGCTGAAGTTCTGGCAATCCGTTCGCTGGGAGCTCCTTGACAGCTCCCCCCCCCCAGCGGCTCAGCCCACGGCTCAGTTCTTCGCACGTCCTGAGGATGGGCAGCTCACAGCTCCCGGTCCGGACCCCCGGGCGACTCGTGTGGACTCCATGGACTGGTCGTTGGTGCAGAGGACGGGTGTAAGGAACACCTGCGGGTGACGGGAAGACGTTGGGAGGTGAGGTGGAAACAAGGATCGGAGCCCTCTGCAAGAGGCCAGATGTGGGCGTTTGCGTAGAGATCGGCAAGAGAACGGGTGGATTTCTTTTTGCTTGTCCTCCAATGTTTTAAAGCGGCATCCTGAATGGTTGGTGGGGCTGGGAAGGGGAAAGGTGCCACGTGTCTTCAGCAGCTTCCCTTACCACAGTTGGCCATGCCTTTCTTCCTAACTCCAACTCCTTTGTGGCCAGCCTTTGGGCTTCAGGTGGGCTGGTGAGGCCCATGATGGTGCGGCTCCTCAGTGTCATTGAATGCTGTTGGCTGACCCTCAGAGTTTCCGTTTCTTTTTCGGAATCTTTTTCTCCCTCTCTCAAAGTTGGCGCCGCCCGCAAAACATCGGTGGCCCCCGCCTTGGGGGAGAGAAGCCCGGGATGGAGGGTACCAGAGATGAAAAAGGGACCTTTTTTTTGTTTTCTCCTCCGATTTCAGGCACTTGGGATGGGTGGACGGGGTCCGTCCACATGTTCCTCTCCAAAGCGAGTTGGGGACCCCGCCGCCCCGCCGCCAGACCGCCCCCGCAGGTGCCGGGCGCGTTGGGCGCCTTGAACCCTTTGGTGCCCGGGGGGGCCCAGTGGTGGCCCGCTTTTGGGGTCCATGAAAGTCACTGGACGGTTGACGTGGCCTTCTTGGAACGAAGACACCAGGATTTCAACGGCCTGTTCAGTCCTGCGCGGTGCAGTTTGGGTGCTCCCACCTGCGTGGCCAGTGAGGCTCCCGCCAATGATGCAGGCGCCGAGCAGTTGCCGAGCGCCAAATGGCGCGTCACTGCGCGCCTTTCTTTCAAACAGCAGGAGCGAACTGGCCTGAACAATGGTGGTCAACGGCCCTGGGCGGCCTTGAACGCCAGCAGTTTTCGAAGCCAGTTTGAGAAAAACCGTTTCAATTTCAAGTGAACAAACACGTTTCAATTCTTTAGCCCCAGCAGTTTGCCCGACACCTGGTGGCAGGCATTTCCTACCGCTGCGCCCTCGGCGCGGGGGATGGTAGAACACGCGGGGAGGAGAGATGACCTACACTCCCGAAGACTAACTTGGACCCTGAGAATGGGACCCGGTTTTCAGGCTATTGTCTTCTACAAGCCAGCGGTTTTCAGGGTCCATGCTAGTTTTCCACGGGGTAGACAAGAATGGTTTGAGTCATCACACTGAGTCATGGTCTACAAGCCAACCGAGTCGGCTTGACCATCTCGCACAGGTGGACTCTCTCCCCTTTGGTCAGCTTGCGGGCTTTCTGTGCCAGAAATTCTTCTCACCAATGACAGGACCCAATTGAAACCTGTATGTTTTTCTTGTGTGGAAAACTGATCTCTGAATCTCTGATCTTCGACGTGTTTTTTCGACGCATACAATGGGACACCGAACTCGACCGCATGCGGCCGAGGGGCTGCCGCCAATGGCGCCGGAAGGGGCACTCAGGGGGACAGGTTTTCCAGGATTATGGCGGGCAGTGGCGTCCAGGATTTGCTCAAATTTTTCCACGCAACTTCTAAGACTTTCCTTTCTATTCAATAATCTTTGGGTGTCCTCACCGAGCATTACATCATCACAATGTGGTGTGATGACTCCAGGACTCCGGTTTCTCCCCTCCACTCGCAGTCCAGGCCCTGCCTGCCCTGCGCCCGGTCCCCGATTTCGCCTCCAACCTCGTTTCCGTCCCGCGCTCAGCGACCCGCGGGACCCGCAAGTGGGGTGCGGCCAGTTTTATGGTCCCATGGGCCAACTCCGGAGCTTCCCGCCTCTATATCTGAAGAGGTCGTTTCAACCGGTTTTAAGCTGCAGAATCGGCTCCAACCTCGGCCGATTTCTATCTCAGAGCTGGGTCCTGAAGCTCCAAGCGCCTCCAGCCTCCGCGCCAGCTCGGAATGCAGGACTGAACACTCCTCACTCCTCATAGGTCTCTTCCTTGATGTTGTCATGGAACGAGAAGAGCCTCTGGGTGGAGTGGTTGAGATCTGATGAGTTCTTCCCCATTCCTTTGTCCAAGTGTCCCAACAACAACGGGAACCAAGCACGACCCACCAGGAGTCTCAAACGTACGAAAAACAGGCACAGATCTACCTTGGGTAGAGTACGTTTGAGACTCCCGGTATGTAGGGTATGGTAGAGTATGGTAGGGTATGGTAGGGCATGGTATTCTTTATACTGGTAGGGTATGGTAGGGTCATCTCCTATTTTCTACCCCAAGAATCCGACCCAGGCCCTCCATGGCATGGGGTCGGACCCTCCGGACCGGGACCCCCTAGAAGTCCAATATGACTATATTCGGACCGACTGAAGTAAAGGACAGTCCTTTTCGGGTCACGGTCTTGGACTCCCTTGATTTCAGAGACCCGGATTCTTAGGGTCGGGTCATTTGGAGGCGTTCCAGGCACCTGACCCTGTTAAGCAGCGCTCTCCGGAGCCTGCTGCTGCGCTGCTCTCCCTCCCCGCCCCTCAGGCGCTGCGGAGCCACGTGCCGGCGGTCAGTCAGGTCGCGGCAAGTCGGTTCGGGTTGGACATGATGGCGGGTTGGTGGACTCAGACTCTCCGAAACCCAAAAACGGACTCCAAGAGGAAACGGGATTTGAGGAGGTAAGACAGGGTTGTGCAACGAATTTGCGCTATATATATATATATATGGCCTGTGCTCAATGCATATATATATATATATCTGAAGCGATCCGCTTCGAAATCGCTCGGTTTCGCCAGTGGTTTGGCCAGGCCGCGCCAGCGGACGGCCTACAGTCGCAGCTACTAGCCAAAGACTCAGATGGGACTTGGGGTGTGTGGCCTGAAGCGACAGAACCTTTGGGTCTTGATAAGATTCGATATATATATATATAAGTAGATGAAGTAGTAACACACCGAAGCAGAGGGCTGCTGAAGATGGCAAGTACAGTGCAGACATTGCCATGGCTCCAAATCAACACCAGGCGACCGCAGAAACTCTATGGAACTGACCGCGAAACTCTCTGTTCCCATCCGTCCGTCCGTCCGTCCATCCATGCATGCATGCATCCGAATGCATCTGTGCACGTTATTTACCACTCCCCACTGGTGGCTGAGGCGTCGCTGACCAAGCACACGCCGGGAGACTCGCCAGCGGGTCGCCTTCGGTCACGTGCGGTTCGGTCGATGATCTGAAGCGTCCCAAGGGGGCTGAAGCTTCAGGTCCGAAGTGTCCGACGAGCGATTTGGACCCAATGAGCCGAAGTGTCTCCAATCCAAGTGGCAGCACCCTTCTGTTCCAACCAACCACCCGCACACCCCCGGTCCCTGTCCTTCACAGGCCGCCCCCTCCCTCCCCCCACCGCACCGACCTCTTCGCTTCCGAGGCCCACCGACCTGGGCACCTCCAACGAGACGCCTCGGGGGCCGCAGCGGTTCCGGGTCGCGGTGCGGCGGGCGGGGACGGCCAGTATAGACGCTTTGGATGAATACAACGCTCCTAGTATGAAGATGTATGAATGAAGAGGTTTAATGCTAGACTATAAAGCCTCTATAGATGAATAAGCCCTCCAAATCATAGGGGGGGTCTGCTTCAGGTTATTGGACGTCGAAAGACTTCTTCCAGGAGTCACATGGAGTTGGGTGGTGTGGCTTCTCCCATCATCCAGTGAGTGGAGTAGCTGGGCACCCCTATCCTCCAAGTTCGGCACCCCGACTTGTGACTCCTGGTGTGAGTCTTCTGAACCATGGTCTAGTTGCGCAGAGAGTGGCAGGAAGCCGCCATGGCCATGGCTGCTTGTTTTGGAAGGTTTGGGGTCGTACCTTGGCGGATGTCCCCCTCACCTGTGGAATGGCCCAGTCCGGTCTTTGCACGCGGCAGGTGACACCCATTTGGGACACCCTGCAGGTGAGACTGAGTGTTGTTCGACGGACACCGAGGCAGGAGCTCTTCCGTATGGTGCGCCCGCAAGAGCCGCAGCTCCTGTGTCTACGGGGTGGTCCAGAGTGAAACCCTTGGCGGCCAAGCACCCACAAGAACGGCCAAAGAAAGGGGTTGCCTGGATTGCTTCGGCCAAGCATGTGGATGATTTTTGGGATGCTGATGGGAGGACACCGGGATGGGTGGCGCGTGATGCCCCGCAGTGGGTGGGCTGGCCTCGTTTCAAAGGCCGAATATAGTCCAAGTGTTGTGTTGTCTGGTTTTTCTCTATCCCCCACTGACCGGCCCGCTAATCAAAAGTCGAAGGAAAAAGTCTCTATCCTGCTAGGGAAGGATGTTGCACATCTCCCGTGGTCGCCCCGCTTTGGCCCCTTCTCGGCTCTTCGTCCAAAAGGGGGGGGGCGGACCGCGCGCGGGCGTCGCGTGCGGGCGCGTCGCGCCCGGCTCCGTTAGCAATGAAGATGGCCGCTCGGTATGACTAGCTGTATCTTTGTCTTTGGTGGGTTGGAGGTGTTTTGGATTGTCCAAAATATTGTCCTGTCTTTGTTCTGTGGTGGGGGCCGTTTGGATCAATGCAGGGAGGATATGGGAGGATCTTGTCTTGAAGGCGTTTGTTGTTGAGGTTGCCAAGGATGCCGGCGAAACAGTTAATGCATGTTATTGCTGTAGCCCCGCATGCTGGGCACCTGCGAAATCCCGGCATCTTCAAAGGTATGGTGCCACAGAAAGGCACGTAGCAGGTGTGAGTCTGATAGCATTTGCTGGGCCTTGCCTTGCTCAGGTGCGTGGGCTGCTGATTGCCTGCTTTGTGGCACAGGCGCAGTGAGTTCAGCACTTGCCATGGCCATCTCCAGAACTTTTTTGAGACATGATAACATGACCATCCAACATGGGTTCAGCACACTCCCAGAGCTCCTGTTAGATAAGGAGAGTGGGAGAATCGCCTACGTCTGTCGCCCCTAGAATCGGACAGGTACTGTAGATGTGGGGCCTCTTTAGTTGAACCAATGCGCCATAAAGGCCCGGCGGACCGGAGGAGCATGTCCCAGATTTGAGCTTTGGCCCCTAGATCCTTTCGCGGTGCCCGGTCTTTGATGAATCTGGTTTGAAAGGTGGTGGCGATAGCCCAGCCGGATCGATTCAAACCATGTGTCTTTTCTTTCTTCCCACTGTTTTCCAGAAGAACCTCCACTGCAAAGCCTCCCGCCGAGCACTTTTGCTGGGCACCGGTGGTGGTTTCCACCCCCCGCGGGGGGTCGGTGTTTCTCTGTTGCGGCCGTGCAGGCGCGTGGCCTCGTCGCACGGGAGCATGAGACCCCTCAGGTCCTTCAGGCGCCACCGTCCGGGAAGGGTGGCCCGGTGGGGTTGGGGGGTTTTGGGGGTCGATTTTCTGGGACCAGGTGGGAGAGGAGTGAGTTGGAGGGGGTTGTTGGATGGGTGAAGCTCGGTGAAAAAGGTGCTGGAAGTTCTGGATGGGCGAGCAGTCTTAGCAGCCAAAGGTGCAGTACACAACTAACTTGTAGTCATTCTGATCCATGTTGACTGGGCTTGATAGAAGCTCCAGTCAGAATTTTTCTCTTGTGGCCCGCAACAACCCTTTGGCGAGCATTGCTTCTTGGGGAACACCAACTCATGGCATCCCATCGCCACGTCAGACCGCCCGGACGTATCTAGTGGCCACGGGGTCGACCATCGGTCAGATCGAGTGGATGATCTGAAGGACATTGCCATTGAGTTCGGCACCGCTGGGTGAGGTTTCCACTGCTTCAGGAGGTTTCAGGATCCTTTTTGAGGTGATTGATTTGATGGTGTATCACACTCTCCACATCCGCATCACCACCGCTGCTCGCATCTCTCTTTTTCTGCCTTTGCAGGTGCCTGCTCCATCACCAGAGGCTGCCACAAAGGCGGGGAAGCCAACCAGATGGTAACACACAAGAAATGCACAGCTTGTGGACTGGTTGTGGCCATCCACTGGCACGCCCTCGTGAGGTGGCGCCCACCTATGCACCAGCTCCAGTGAAGATGCCGTTGATCACCAGGACCCCCCAGAGCCGCCGCGTTGTTGGCCTTCCTGGCACTTGATGCAACCCGTGGGCGGGGGGGGAAAACAGTTGGTCAGGTGGACTGAGCCGAGGGTAGCTGGTGGGAAGTCCAAACGGAGCTCCATCCGCGCTCCATCCTTGCTCCCTCCGCTCCATCCGCGTGCAATGCTCCGTCCGTGGGCCTTCGGTCCGGGGCCCGGTGCAGGATCTTGGAGCCGCTGCTGGGAAAGCAGGTGGCCGGCATGGATCAACACGGGTGCCTCGACGTCGTTGGCGGTCCGGGTGGGGGAGTGGTACAACCCCTTGGCTCAAGGGGTGTGTTGTCACACGTGGTGGCAGGTGTGGGCACTATACTACTGTATATACCCTTACGCAAATCCTGAGGCGAAGGTGGTCTCCTATAATCTCCTATATATAGATACTGGAGGTGTACGGGGAGGAAAAGGTGGGTGCAAAGAGCCGGAAACCATTCTGATGAAGGACAAACATCTTCTCGACCTCCCTCAGCGCAGATGACCAACTTGATCGAGTGCAGCATGTGGCCTGCAGTCCCTGGGCCTGGGTAAAGTGCAAATTATGGAACCGGGCACCCGAAGAGAGAGGACTGTTCCAATGCAAATCCATGTGTCCTTTGGACACTCACCCGTTCATAGGAATCGTTTCCAGACGGTTCGCTGAAGTAGGTGTCCGGACTTTGGCACGGGCACTGCGCCTCTGTTGAGTCATCCCTGAAGTTCTGATGAATACTCAACCTTCACGGGACTCATCAAGAACAAGAAGCGAAAACCAAGGCGCATCAGTCAGTCACAGAGTTGTGGCCATTCCCTTCAGCTCCTTCCAAACTTCTCGGTCAGCTGCTTCCCTTCAGCTTCCCTTTCGCTTTCGCTTTCAGTTGGTGGGTGGTCATGCGCACGGCCATCGGCTGGGCGGTGCTCCTCTACGGACCGCGCGGGGGGAAGCTCCACCGGGGCGGGGCGGGGTGCCGGGTGGGTGGCGAGTGGCGTGTAGAGGTGCGGTTGGTCAGTTTGGGGGCGGTGTGTGTCGTGTGTGGCCGAAAGTTGGTTTCTTTCAGCATTATATAGATTTTTTGTGCATGGTTTCACCCCAGAAGCGGAGGCTATGGGCGAGTTCGTGGCTGGAAATGAACAACCGGAGGGGAGAGCATGTCGAGATGCTGTGGGCATCCAGGATGACACTCCCCTTGGACCTTTTCTTGGGGGGTGAGTGTAGTGGAGGCCCAGCTTCGAATCCGAAGGGGGTCGTGCAGGAATTTGGATGTGGACTTGGTGGTTGCCATCCCTCTACTTCCGCATGCACGACGCTTATCAGAAGGACCGGGGCTGTGTTCCCAGTTCGTTCTGGGCTCGTTCTGGGCTGTGTCCCCGATCGGTTCGTCGCGGGGCTTGGACCAGAGCGGTGCACGTGCAGGAGAACATCGACGGGCGGACCTTCAAGCAGTACCTCACCTACCATTTCAACTATTGGATGGCGTCAGGCCCGAAGTTGGAGCTGAGGTCTGATTAGCAGGGATGTTTTTCCTGGTGTTGGTGAAGATGCTAGGGCCTGAATGGTGAAGGAGACGTCCGCCAATGCAAGAACAACCAAGAACAACACAAATGCTGTAATGGATTAATCAAAAGGCGTCTCTACCTGAGAATCGCCTGCGTCAGGCGGTATTTCAGCGATGTTTCAACTGCTGGTCATCGGCATTCTGACCTTGTTGACTCTGGGTGCTGCTCTCAGTTTTGGGAGCAGAGGATGTGAATTCTCCCACGGGTCGTTTCGTCTACAAGTCTACTTGTTGGCCATTTCTACTTCCCTCGCATGCTGACATTCCACATGTTTTTCCATTGTACGACCAGTCACGATGTTTGGTGTGTGACAGCCGTCCTGGCAACACTGCACAGAATTAATTAAAGGGGTCATAAGGGGGGTCCTAGAAAGCCCGTTTCTGTGCCAGAAGATGCGTGTAGCATTTTTGTCCGGATGCCGCTGTGGCGCCGTTGTGGCTGCCCAGGTGCCTTCATCTACGCAATCATGATGCAGGACCTGTGTAGCGGATTGTAGCGGATTTCCCGGTCATCTAGGAGAAGTTCCAGGATCCGGGCGCGTCACCCGAAGGAAAAAGCCAACACTTGTGGAACTTCCTCCCACCTTCACTCGTTTGGGCGGAACACTTTTTGCCCCTTCATTCCCACAGAAATTGGGATAAAGAGAACCCCTTTTTCAGGACCCTCCCATGGTCACCAAACACCTCTCCAAAGGTCACCCGAGGTGGAATCACTACCCTAGAGACAGACTATTCCATAGGTACCCCCAGTCGTGTCCTATATATTATATATATAGACCCCCCCCAAATAGATAGGAAAGTCGATCCCCCACTTCAACATGTCTTTGGGTCTCCCGTCCCATCCTCTCTCTCTTGGGCAAGTCGTTGGGGGATCCACTTCACTGGCCACGAAGGCTTCACCGGCCTTCACCTCTCGTCGCCGAACTCCATGCCGCGACTTCTTCGGATAAACCCCTCGGCAGGACTCGCCCGTGCGGGGCCTGTGGCTCTGCACCGTCTGGGCTTCGGCCGCGTCGGTGGACCCGGCCGTGACCGCCATGGAAGGCACGGCGCCAGGGCCATGGCCAAGTCCTTGGAGTGTCAAGGGTCTTTAAAGGCTTACAGGCTGTGGTGCCCCTGTTTCTCTGGCAATCCGCCCCTAGTTCCTTCCCACAATCACCTAAACATACTATAAACTTAAAAAAAACACATATGACTCCGTTTGCTTGGGTGCAACTAGCCCTTGGGCCACCCCCCCGGAGCCACTCCCCTTCCGCTTCCAGCCGGCCGCCGCCTTCCTCCCCTTCCGCTGGCGCTTCCGCCAGGCGGCGTGGGGATGATCGCCACTTTCGGCGGCCTGGTGCTGCTGGCCGTGCTGCTGACGACCATCTCGGACGGCGGTGGCGGTGGCGGCGGTTGGCGGGGTGGCGAGAAGGGGGTGGAAGGGTGGGAGGGTGAGATGAGTGGTTATAGACGGGTTTGGTATGGTTTTGTGATGTGGTGCAAGGGGAGGGACATGTAGGTGGACGTGGTAGGTGGATAGATTTGTGCCGAAACTGTTCAACCCAATTATACATGGTGCATCGTCGAACAGAAACTTGAACCCCCCAAGAATTCAACCCAAGGGGAGCATCTGGCCGAGCGGCCGCGAGCTGCGAGGACTTCTTTGCGGAGCAGCAGCGGAAGTCCAACGAGGGCCGCGATCCCATCGTGGAGGCCGCGGCGGCCGCGGTGGGCGGCGGTGCGGTGAGACGGACCGTGCGGGACGCACGGACCGTGGGCAAAAGGGGGGAGTTGGTGGCCATCGAAGCATGCGAAGTGCCTTCAACAGGTTGAAGCTCACATGCTAGATGTGGACCGTGCCTCATGTGTCGATTTGATGATGATGAAGAGGCAGAGAGCGTTGATATTCTTCGGTTGCTGTCCATTTGCTGGAGGAGTTAGGGCTTGGGTAGAAGCATGATCTACAACGATAGGGACTAAACACCCGTTGAGGTTGTGTAGTGGCTTTAGTGGGAGTGGGCCGAGTGTGGCCATGAGCATCGGTTAAGTCATCCTGCCGGCACGGAGGGAGACAGAGGGGACGAATCGAGGCTAGCTGGAAGAGGTTAAAAGAGATGAAATGGCTTGGTGGCCGATATGACTCTATATGACTGAGACTTAGGTGAGGTGATTTGGTAACCAAGAGCATCTTTGGAGGCTCTTGTCTAAGAAATCCGTGGAAGGACTGCATGGAATTGTGGTATCCGATTTGCATGGTGCTGTTGACTTGGGCCGCTCCTACATCCTTTACAAACCGGATGTTTTCCACTTACGATTGCGACCGTTCCTTTTGGCCGCCAACCTTCGAGTGGTTCCCTGTCGCAGCAGCGGGGCGTTTCTCGTGTTCGCGCGTCGCGGTGGCCCGCAGGGTGGACATTTGGTGCTGCTCGGGCTGTCCTCGCAGACCAAGCAGTTCCTGGAGGAGTTTCTGGGACGCACAATCGGAGGGAGGACATGAAGCGCACGTGAAGGTCGCCAGCCCTCGCCCTCGCTCTGAGTGGAACTTCCCCGAGTCCTTGTTCAATGAAGACCAGTTACATTTCCTAGGTCCTATAGACTTTGGTGTCCTTTCTACTCCTAGCCGGCCGTATAGCCCCCTACAAACAGCTGTTGTCTACAAAACCGCTTGAGCCCCGACGACTCCCGCCGTCCTCGTCTCCGGTCCCCGGGCGGTCGCCGTCTCGCCCCCCCGAGGCTGGCGATCTGCGAGGCGAGCAGCGCGCCGACCACGGTGGCGATTTTGCACACGTTGCCCAAGTCCGAGCTGCTCGGAGGGTCGAGCCCGGTCGGGTCGAGCACGTGGATGGGCCAACTGGATGGGCTGATGCGAGATTTGCAGAAAGCTTTGTTAACCCTTTTTTCATCATATTAATTCGCGTGTGAGTGTGTGGTGCCGGATGTGATGCATGAAGCTTTTGGTGAACATCAAGTTTTTTCTTCTACACATATATATATATATCATTCTATATATATCCACATTGTTGGGAGTGACAGAGGCAGGATTTATGGTCTAAGTGATTGATGAGGGACTGGAGGAACATTCTAAGGTTGCTGAACTCGTCGTTTGTCACCCTCATTATTGCTTAAGTTATGCATGTTATACTTGCACATCGCATGACATCAATAGAGTTCATTTACGATCATGGGAGTCGGGGTGCGGGGAGAGTTTGATCTAGATCCAATTAGATATTGTTTGCCTGAGGATCGAGCAAGAGATCAAGAGGCAGAACACCAACACGGGCGATTTGAAGAGCCTCGGCACCGCTGAACATGACTTCTCCCTTGGTGTTGACCGGATCATTTTTTTCGTCTCCGTCGTATCCCCCCATCCACTCGGCTGCGTTTAGCGTTTTCCTTCGATAGATAGATAGATAGATAGATAAAGATACTGGTACCTGGACCTTCAAAGGGGTGCTCAATGGAGATCCCTAAGCAGTGTAGTGTAGTCTATTGGAGACCCCTTGGAAGGTGCTGGTATATATGCCGCCGACACCTCTGGAGCCGACACCGGACTTTCCACACCCGACCCGACCGCAGGATCGTGTGCCGCAGTGGTCTGCCGTCCTCTGCGTCGGACCTTTGGAAAGTGGGCGCCGATGTCTGTAGCAGGAACGCCGTTTCGGACGAGCGATTGCGCGCGCGCGGCGACGAGGTGGAGCCTGCCGATGGCGCCGGCGATGCGTCGGAGTATGGGCATTGATTTTGGGGGCTCGAGAAGCGCCCTTGGTTGGCTTGATTCTAAGAACATGGATGGCGAACCCAGCCACTTTCCCACGCGAACGTTCCACAAATGAACCCCATTCTGCGGCCGAACCTCTCCCCCATCACCTCCTGCGCGCCACGTCCCGCAGCCCTCCCCCGCGGCCCCGAACGGCCGGCTCCTTTACCCCGGCGCCCGCCAGGATCGTGATCCTGGACGAGCCGGCGCTGCCGCGGGACGAGGCGGATGCCATCACCTTCGGGACCTTGTTGACCCTCCGAGGCGGACGGCGGCAGACTCCGGGCGCGCCTCACGGGGTGGGGTGAGGGCGACTGCGGGCGAGGAGGGGGGAGCCAAGGAGATGAGGGTGATGAGGACTGAATGGTGGGAATGGTGGGAATGCCCAAGGTTTGCCTGGTAGTATCAATGTGATGATGGCAGGGGCAGCTTGGCCTTTTCGTCCTTCCCGTGAAAAATGGAGTCGCAGTGGCCATGTTTTCTTGGAAGGCAAACTTGTTCAACCACAAACCCTCAGCAACCAATCCAACCCAAAAGGCTGCTGCAGCTCTTCTTTGTCATTATATAACATTCGTACTCGTACCTGTGATGTGATGATCATGCTGATCCAATCCGTAGATCGGAAAGCATATGCTGTGGAATGGACTCGGTTGGACATCCGAGCACATGGTACGCGCGCACACGCAGGCCAGGGAGCTTGTGGCTGGCCACATGGTGGGCATATCGCAGTACAGCACCTTGTCGGCAGGAATATTTTTTGGAGGATCCAACAATGCTTGGTAAGTTTTCTTTCTTTTTTTGTGACATGCTGTGGATCATGGAATCATGGAAGTGAATGTACCAGTGACTGTGGCACGAAAGAGGCTCTTCGAGGTTGGAACCTTCGGCCGAAGGACCACCACAAGGGCTTCCCCCCCCCGGTCCATTGAAGGACGCTTGGCTCATCGCCCTAGGTGCTGCCTGGGAAAGAACGTCACGTTCATGAACGACCTTTATCCAGGCCACCGCCGGAGTGAAACAAGGGACAGCCCACGGAGAGCGGTCTTCACGTGTGAGACAGCTGGGTCCATCGCGTTCAAGTTCGTGACGCAGCTCCTAGGTCCTAAGCTTTATATGGACTTAAGGAGAGTTTGTAGAAACCACAGCTAGCTTTAAAAAACGCAATAGTTTAGTTTCCCCAACCCCTGACACCCCGTTTCGCGCTGCCAGTCCAGTGAACCTTGGAAACCCCGTTCGCGGTTTCCAAAGGCAAGACCTTTGTCCTGAGTGGCGAACGCCTCGGACGGCTCATGGTGCAAAGTGCTCAAGACCAGGCGCCAACGCGTCGACCGGTGCGGAATCCGACCGGTCCGGGACCGGATCGGACGGGGTAGCCCGGATCGGACGGGCTAAGCATTGATGGCATCATGGTAGATCATGAGGTTGGGCATGTCCTTGGCCATAGATTTGGACCTGCCCTCTCAGCTTTGGCGCCTTGCGGAGAGGGGAAAGGAATCTGTTGATGCGTGTTGATGCCACTGCTTTCGGAGGGTTTCTTCCAATCCTTTCAGAAAGGCTTGTTGATTCAAGAGAGGGCTGGACCGCAAGATATAGATCTCCCAAGAAACGTCATGACTGCCTGTGCTCCGCGCAGGGGCTCTGCCCCATCTTCAACGCATCTTGGCCCGGTTTGGTGGGTCGTGAGGGGTGGCGTTGCAGAAGTATGAAGCGCACCCCCCACGTGGCAATGCTCTTCAAACGGGGTGGACTCGTGGCCCGGGTTTTTCGACGGAGCTGCGGCTGCAGGTGTAGAAGACTCTTTATAGTGGTTTTCATTGACTTGACATCTGGGACATGTAGAAACACTTACCTAGTTCACCGTCTTGACATGTGTGCAAAAACCGGAATCACCTGCAAACAACCGTCTGGACAACTCCCTTATACGGCAATTATAGCAACATGAATAAAGTAACAAACCGTAGTCTTGACACTAGACCACATAGACAGAGACGGCAAATATAGAAACATGAAAAAAGTAACACGCCGTAGTCTTGACACATAGACCACATAGACAGAACGACCGAGTTCTTTTGCGCATGCCACGGACAGTGCCGGAGCTTGAAACACTTGCGCACTGCTTGTACGAATAAACCCGTGTACTTGCATAAATACATCAACTAGAACACATAGATTATCCAATTCAACCGCTCCAACAACATAGAAACCTAATCAGTTGCAAAGTCCTCGGTCACAGTCTTGACATTGTGAGAGGAAAAAGGGGGATCCTACCTACCCCGCAAATGGGCCAAAACGAGAAAATTCGCGCGTTCTAGTGCACTGTACTTTTCTACCCATTACTAACCTTATGGTCTTTACAGCCAAATTGGATCTAGGCCACGGTCCCCAGCCAAGACTTTGGTCCCCAGCCAGACTTTATAAGACAATTCCCCCCGGCATTGGGTTGCAAAACTATGCAAAACTTCGTTAGCCTTGGGGGTGGTTGAAATGGACTTAAGAGTCCACAATCGTGGACGGCAAGTGGCTTTCGTGAGGAAGTTCTCTCTATCTAGGGAGCTCCAACAACAGCGATCCAAAGAAGCTTCACGGTGTCACCGTCCCATCCCATCTGGTCTTTTCAGACCATCTGGCGCGCCGGAAGGCGACACCATCTCGGCCCAGGGCGGAATCCGCCCCTTTAGTCTTGCAGCCAGGATCGGCCAGCGGGGCTGCAATTCAGTGCTTTCCCACCAACGTCGGACCGGAAGGCGGTTCTCTCCTCGTCCCTCCCTCGTCCCTCTTGACTTGACGAAGGCGATCATCGGCTTCGAGGGCGACGAGTTCTACTCGGCCAGCGCGGAGAGCTTGAATTTAGCGGGCAAGCTCTTCCAGGAGCCGACCCGTCGAGGCAACGCCCGTCGAGGCAACGCTTGATTCGCCGAGCTTCAGGGCTCGGTTGGCTCGGTTGGCTGGTTTGATTGAGATCTTTGGGCTCGTGGATGCTCAGTTGAAAGCCTCCTATGGGAGCAGTGCCGGGGTCCCGAATGGTCCCGAGGTTTGTTTCAGGACCGCTGCTTGGAGCGTCTGCCTTGCTGAGCCTGTTGGACCAGGTCCGTGAGGCCTTTGACCTTCCAAGGTGAGGCAAGGCCTCTATAGGTCCTAGGCACTGCGGAACGTATGGGTCCGACTTCCACGGAGAAAGGGCAGATAAGGACAGGGACTGGGCTGACTGGGTCAGGTACTGACTAAGCTAGCTTTCTGACTCGGTCGCGGCAATGTAGACCCTGCAATTCCAACCACCATTGATTCAATGATCTTGACCCAAGAGCCATTGTTGTACTAAGGTTTTGGCACTTCAAAGCCAAGTCAACCATTTTAAACGTGGTCTTGAACTAGGCCGGGACGACTATCGGCTCGATCCTGGAAGATCAAGGGCGCCTCGACCTGTAGAACCGAGGAGGCGCCCTTCTGGTGTGAGCAGACGGTGCCCATCGGCATCCGCGACAGTGGTGGGGCCTACCACATCAACCCGGAGAAGTCCTATGAGATCAAAGAGGCGAGACCTCCTTTGACCAGGGCTGAGGGACCTAAAGAGGGACCTAGAGGGAGTCTCACACTTGATGCACCTGGCGGAGATGGGGCACCTTTTGATTTCGCTTTTCAATAGAAGTTTTGGCTTCAAATCCAGCTTCAGGCTGTTCCGTGCCACGTCCATCTGATAGCCCTTTGAGCATCACTCGGAAAATTAGAGCCAAGAGTGGATGCAAGTCGTTTCATGTAGAGTGGGTCGATGGGCTTCGACCGGCAGGACGATGAGGTGATTCTCCTGGCCGAGGCGCGTGACGATGAACGAAAAACGGGGTCGCCGAAGGGGGATCGATCCGCGCCGAACAAAGGCGTTTCCCTTCCCCCAATCTTATCATGTGGATCCATGTGGTTGGTTCTCCACCCTTTTAGATATATAAGATGGGGCTTTTGGGACCTCCCACACATGGCTATGGACGACGTATGGGCCCCCATGGAGCGCGCGCCGATCCTGCCCAGGACGACGACGCCCTGCAGCCGTTGTCGAAGCCGCTGATGGACTTCGAAGCGTGGAAGATGAAGTGTCACGGCAAGATGAAGATGGATTTGGTCCAAAGTATTACGTATGTGCATCTTCTGTGGACTGTGGACGGTCATTTCGGGGTCCCACTTCTGAACTCCTAAAGCCAAAGCCCAAATGGCTCTGAGTCTGGGATCCAGTTCATTTTGGGGTCCACTCTTCACCAAAAGGACATTTCATCGGGATGGCTCCAGGCCTGCCCACTGCCCCAAGAGGCCCATGGGGCGGCTGGAACTTGAGTGAGGCATCAGCTGCATCAGAGGCTTGAAGACCTTGGAAAGATCGATCATTGGGACTGCTCCACTGGAACTCGCTCCATGTGAACGATCCATGTACCAAAAACCATGAGACCCGAGACGGACACGTTTCGCACCACCTCCACCGTTTGTTCTCCAAGCCGAGCCAACTCCAACCCCGACCCGAACCGCGTAACTCGGTGTTGGGTTCGACACATGCGAAGGGGTTGGGTCTCCTGTAAGTAGTGGTTCAAACAAAGGACAAGACCAGGGCCCGCTAAAGCCCCGGGATCTGAGGTCAAAATGTTCGAATCTCTCACTAATCTCATTTGTTGAGTCAAAATCACTTCCCAATAACCGTTCCGATAGGAACCATGTTTGTAGAACTGTAGGCGCCATCTTATTAGAACTCTGCAATAGTTCTATTATAAGGTGCTTCGACTGTCTGCCCTTCTCCTCGACCCCTGTCCAAGGTTTGGCTCCGCCACCTTCGAGGAGTCCGACCCCAACGACAACGAGCCCCGGTCGGTCGGTCGTAACGGCCGGGCCGGACGTGTCACGTGTTGCCGCGGGACGTGTCGTTGCTGTGGTGCACAGTCTAAACAGGTGCACGCCGGGCTGGGGTGGCTTTATATACTGAGATGTCTTACGTTTTGGTTGGACGCGGGCATGTGCGGTTTTTCGCTTCCTTGGCCCTTTCCGTGGGCCTATGGTGACCTCATTGCTCGTGAGGAAAGCTCAGAGGAGTTGTGTGATTGAAGGGGTTTGGGACACGCTCGTCCACCAATTAGGGCACCGCGAAAGAGCTTGCACAAGCAGATGCTGCTTGCAAAAGAGGCTTGCAAATTGGACAGGGATATCTCTAGTAAGTAAGCTGCAAGCACTCGGCCGCCCATATTTAATCATATTTATATAGTTGGGTTTAGTGATGTTGAGTCATGATTTTACAGATCCCTAGTCGGGTCATATCCTCAGGACATCGGAACATGTAACTTACATATTTTGATGCCCGCCCTGGGTCTCAAAGGGTAGGGATCCAAATGAGTAGTAATGAGCCCCGTCAGATCCCTACAGGTCTGTCCGGACCTCATTTGACTGGGTCCGGGAATCTGCCTATAAGCCTTAACTCCATGAGGTCAGTCAGACCAGGCTTTAACGCCAGGCCCGTTACCTGGACTTATGTAGGGGTGCAGGTCGTTCCAGACCCCCCCGACTCGTCCTCCAATGAGCTCAGGAAGTGGTGCAGGTGCTGATTTGCAACTTCACCGAACGAGGACGGGTCGTCGCTTCACCCCGACGACCTCGTCCCATTCTTCGTGAGCGGGGGAAAGGACGCTGGGCGGACGCTTCTGGCGAGCCCAAGGAGAAGTTGAAGTTCCAAGATCTCCAAATAAAGATCACCTCCGGGGCCCCATCCTTGACCCCACTCCACCGTGTGTGCAACGTCGCAGGGTTGGGCTTCAGCTCCTCCAAGCCATCTCCGCCTCTTCAGAACCAAAGTGGTGCACTCCATGGGGGTCCAGTTGGTTCTGCCAGGATATGGTTGTGCCATCCTCTTGGCGTTGGATGAGCGCCTCGGCTGAACCTCCATCCGTCCCTTTTTGGAGCGTCCAACCTTTCCCGGTGCCCACTGAGCTGAGGATGTGTGGAGCTGGATCTGCTGCCCGGCGCCAGGGGGGGTTGTTGTTGGGTGACCGAGGTCAGGAGGATGTAGGGTAGGTGTTTCACTGCAGCAAGAGGGTCAGTTGGAGGTGTTTGTTTACCGCCCCCCATGTTGGAGGCAGAAGGATGCCCACCATCATTTGACTTTTCTTCTTCGATTCTTTCCCTTTGCCAGTGTTTCGGGCAGCTCGCAGGGCTCGCTAGAACATCAGTGCCCCTGTGTTGGCCAAGGAGTGTGACATCTACTGCTCGCTGTCAGACGCTGGGTTTGCATCTTTCAGTGTTTTTATTGCTTTTGAAGCTGACAGTTCGTTTGAAAAGCGAAGGACGATGAGGTTCTGATTGATTGCCCTGGTTTTTCCTATATGGCCCCACTGAGTGGCCTCAGGCATGAGACATCGCCCGCGCGGCTAGGATCATGGCAGTTGTCACACACAAGCCGGTCACGGTGCTGAGGAAGATGAGGTGATCTCAATCATCAAGAACGCGGAGGAGGAAGCCGATAGGACCTTGAAGAACATCAAGGCCTCGGGGGCCGAGCTGCGTTCTGGGTTTCGGGAAGCGTCTCTCACCGGCCCTGGGTGGTTTCTTTTTCTTCTCCGAACCCTCACGGAGCTTCAGTGAGCTCAGGATGATCTCCGGGCTCGCTCCATGAAAGAAAACACATGTTCTTGCTTGGGGAAACCATGGCAGCCGAGTGAGAGAACCACTTGTTTCCTCTTGTTTCCTCTTGTTTCCTCTCTTCTTCACCTCACGGCACGTCCGCAGGGCCAAATTCCGCATAGGCCATCCGCACGCGGCGCGCCGGCCCCCCCCCCTCGTGTGGAATCGTTCACCACGAGGTGCGTGCGCGGAACGGCCTCGCGACCCGGTTTGGGCGGTTCACGAGGTGCGGAAGATCTTCACAGTTCCGCAGCATCAGATGACCTCGCGACACAAGATCAACGTGATGCCGCTGCAGCCCCTTGCACGGAGACTGGAAAAAGAGAGAGAGAGAGAGGGTCCGGGTGAAGCACGTTCTGGGGACCCACACAGGGATTGGGGTCTTTGGATGGACATGGCTTGGAATTTCAGGGGTATGTGAATGAAGAAGGAGAGGTTGCATTGCTCCCAGCGGCGGTTCTTTTTTTGGATCCTACACATGCCACCGGGCCACTGAGCCTTGTTGTGCTGGACGGAGCCTTGAGTCCAGGGACTATGACTTCAACTTCGTCCTGGCCGATGCGGCTTTGGGCTTTCAAAAGGCGCGCCGGAATCCAGTGGCCCTGCAGCAGGGTTTTGCAGGTGCTTTGGAAACGGATGGCAAAGGGTTGGTGGCTCATATGATTGGGACTTGCATCCAACGATATCAACAGCACTAGTGCTCCGTGTGGAGTTTTTTCCGCCCTCTAGCTTGGGTGTTTGGGCCTTCTTGCTACATGCATGGTGGTCGACTGTGACAGCAGGCCGATGAGCAGACCGTGGCGATGATCATTCAGATGAAGAGCTTGATCCAGGCGGGGGTATTGGACTAGACGCCGGCATGCAATGAGACAAACAAAGGGGACCCAAACAGTTCATACCAATGTATTGGTTCCAAGAGAGGTTAACTGACCCTTTACGACCATTCTGGGGTACCCATGGAATATATAGTCTACAATGAAGTGGCTTCTTTTCCTCCTGGCAGGAGAGCTTCCCTGAGCACAAGTTCGAGCCTTTGGTCAGACACCCAGATCTCAAACTGAGAGCATCAGGTTTCCTGATAGAAATGGAGATGCCAGGGAGTTCGCCAAAACTTGGCAGTCCAAATTCGATTGAATGAATGTGATTCCCTAAGGCAGGGCGGTTCATACCCAGAAGCAGCCCAGCATAGATCTAATATCTAATATATGCTCCATTTCAGACAGAGGAATACGGCGGGTGGACCTGCTCCCTCTTGCCATCCTGCGTGGGGGAATGCCTAGGTGAATAACGCCTGTTATACCTCTTCTATCCTTCTCCTGTCCAGCTGACCATTCCACATTATTCCACCTCACGACCGACGACTGGGGCACCAAGGTGGAGGTCTGCACCCCGAACGCCACTCTGCAACTGGAACTCTGTGGCATCCAGCAGCTCGGTCGCCGCGGTCTTTTTGGCGGGGCGGTTGGTTGGTGGAGAAACTCGTACTCGCAACAAGACGATGAGGAAGTTCGATGGACAGCGCCAGGTTGGGAGAGAAGCAATTGGTCTTCCAAGGTGCCATGTTCCACTTGCATCAATTCGAGCTCATGTTTTGGAGTTTGCTTCCTCAGTTCTTGTTGCGTTTCAATCCTCCAACCTCATGTTTTAGAGTCAGGGCCCAGTGCCCTCCTCCTTGCAGTCGAAGCACTGAGAATAATTTTGAAATGCCACTGCGCACGGTGCACCCAACAGAATGTTCATTCGGTTTGCTGGTGGCTCCTGGTGCCCCGTACCCAACGGCACGGGTGAAGACCCAAGAATCGCTTGCAAATGGAGGTGCATCCATCCCAATTCCACCAGCAAGCTTCTTCAAAGTGACCTTTTGAGGGGAAGGCTTTTCCAGTGACCTGGAACTGGGAAGGCTCAGAAGAACTGGGTCACTTGGAACCCGGGGCCAGTTGTTTTTAGGTCCAAGGAAGTTCGGAGAATCACCTCTCCCCAACTCCTCTGCCCAATGCTTCTCGGCATCACCGTGCGAACTTAAGGAACACCATCAATACGATCTCGATGATGTCCAAAGCTATGGCCTTGGTGGCGATCGACACACTGGCGCATGGTGTGCTTTCGGACTTGCTCTCGGCCACAGGGAACAACATGGACATCATGTGCCTCGGAGTTCGGCTTCGAGAGGATGGCCGTCGAAAGAGACGGACACGGTTCTCGCACGTGTTCAACACATTTTTGAGGAACATAACAACACTCTTCATTTGTTTAAACGGACCTATTTGGGGTGAATACAGTCAAGAAGGACGAATGACGTTGGCTATCTAATATCCGGGGTTTCTTTGTATCGAGTGCATTTTTGGTCAAAGACCGATCTGGAGCATTCTTGCGGGGCATTCTTGGGGGATGTGCTTGGAGGTGTGGAGTTGGGAGGACATGGCAGCAGGGGCAGATGGACTGCCAAACCTAGTTGATGGATGTGGATGGTTAGGTCGACAGTGGCAGGTGCTGCTTGGTCCACGGATGGTGGGAGGGCCAGACCGGAAGCGGCCCCCTCTCCGCGGCACAGTTTGGTTCGTGATGTCCGTTCAGTCAGCCATGGGTGTGCGGTGGATGTTTCAAGAGGTCGGGGGTTGGATCCGTCATGATCCTTCTGGATTTCGGGCAGCGGCTTGAGGTACTTGAAGGACTACTTGGGAACTCAGCCGCTCCCGCAGCAGCTGCTCGGCCAGATTGATTCTGACCCCAATGTTTGTTCACTGCTCAGTTGAGCATACCAAACTGGCTCCGGCGCCAGTGGTGCACATGTCCACCGCACGAGTCCAGCATGTCGGCCAAACCCCTCGAATGCAACAGAATCCATACGACCTTGGAGGATCATTTGGATATGAAGGGTCTTCCAAAGACCCTCCCAGCCAGTAAGCTCAGTGGTCCACCCCTAACTGTAGAAAGATGGCAGCCGCTCCTTTCAGCCGAATTTCCTTCGCGAAGCCTCCTCGCTCCCTCGCCCCGCGGGGGCTCGCGCCGAGCGGCGAGCGGCGAGCGGCGAGCGCCTGGCCGACAGAGTCGCCGGAGGATCACCTTCGTGGAGATCGCGGCCATTGTGAACCGCGCGGCGCAGCAGGTGGTGATCGGCTGGTCGGAGAGCTCCGTGGACAGCAACCGGAGGGGGCCGGGGTCGTGACCATGCGCGCCGGCGCTTGGGTTCGGTTCCCTCTCAGCTGGGATTGGAGGAAGTGGAGTTTGGGATATGGTGTTGAGGTCGCTAGGGCCGCTAGGACCTCTCTGGAACGTGCGAACCCCCATCCTTGTGGTCTACTTTTTTCAGGAAGGACCCTTCAAGTGCCTGGGGCAAGTTGGGCCCGTTTCTCGCTCTGTGGGAGCCGAGCCGAGAAACCTCGGCCTCCCAAGCACAGCTGGTCGCGCCGCCGTGGTTGAGGCAATGAGCAGGGGGAGAAGGTCTGGGTGGTGAACCCGAAGAACAAGCTGCTCCCGAGACCTTGGAGCGCGGAGGACAAGATCGTGGTCATCAAGGACCCCGGACGACGGATCGGCGTGGGAGAGCTGGGGGAGAGGTGGGGAGCGGGGGGGGGGGGGGGGGGGGATTGGGGGGGGGGGGTTGGTTGGCTGGGGTGGGTGGCTGGGTGGGTGTTCTCTGAGCAAGCTTTGGTGCAAGAGGAGGTGGTGCTGGCTGAATGAATGCGGAAAGGTTCCCAAAGGACACCCTCCAAAGGCTTGAGTGAACCTGCGGCACGCGAGACTTCAAGACTGAAGATTCTACAAGGGACAAGCGATTGGAAGGCTGCGGACTACTTCCATGTTCCCACCAGAGCAAGGCATATGGCCAGGTAGCAAGGATCAGTCCGGCTTCCAGGACGTGTGAGCAGCTGGAACGGCCACTGCTCCATCCAAGCGCTCCTTTTCCGTCATCCGAAAAAAGCGGCCGGACGCGTGCCGAAGATCCTCCGGCTGTTCGCCTCGTCAAAAAGGGGGGGCAGCGTGTGCAGTGGGCTGAGGATGAGGAGGTGAGGAGGTGGCCAAAGGAAGCACAGTCCGGAAGGCCGTGCCAAGCAATGGCACCACTATCGGTCCCTCGTCCATGCTCCCTCATGGCAGCAGATAGGAAGAAAAGACATGAAAGGATGGATTTTTACACTCAGTCACTGATTCATATATATATATATATCAATATATATATATATATACACACCGTAGAATGAATGTACCTTGTGATTGTTGCATCCGTGCAGCCGCCATCACATTCTCATTCACATCCCTGACTCCAATTGGCATGCATGCACGTGCCAGGTGCATGCAGACCTTTACATATTGCCCACTACTTCTCTGAGACACACCACCTTTGTTTTTTCCAAAAGATCTCTTAAACCTCCAAGATGGGTTTGGAACAAGCAGCCCCCCCTAAGGAAAATCCACCTCCAAAACTGTGCGAGGTGGATGTCCAAAGGCAGATGATGTGATGTATTGTACTGTATATTGTAACCTGTGATCGTGACAGCTGTGCGGCAGCTATCACATAGTTATAGTTCACATCAGTGACTCTGATTGGCCAGCATTTCACGCATCCCAGCTGCATGCAGATATAAGAGATTCCCCACTGCACACCTCTCTGAAACCCATGCCTTTTGTCCTCAAAGATCTCCTAAAACCTTCAGATGGGTTTGGAAGATGCAACACACACCAAAAAAATCATCCAAAACTGTTTGATGGTCAAACCCGCTGAACCCCCACCGATGGAGCGCGCCGATGGAGCAACCAACCGCGGCCAAGCGCGCGAAGACCGGGGCCAGCGGCACACCGGTCTTCGTGTGCGAGTACCACGATGAGGCGCCAAGTGAGTGGGGCCGTTGAGGAACTCAGTTGATAGTTATACAGTTTCTGACAGTGAGTGACCTGTAATAACCCCAGAGGTTTGAGGGACACGTGAGGGAAACGGGCATGAAACGGGTCATGTTGAAAGGGTTTTTCATCAGGCCATCCAAGTCGATGATGAGGACTGACCGCACGGATGCGGGGGCGGCCTTTTTAAAGGTGAGAAGATGCCGAAGAGCCGTCCAAGCCCCAAGCCTTGCGGTGCGACCGCAGGCCCTGCGGTGCTTGCACTTTGGCATCCGCCGCCGCAAGGCGAGAAAAACCCGCCCTCGGTTGAGACGTGGGATGTTCTGAACGGCGACCATGGGAGCTTGACCTGGTGGGATTCCGTGTGCCTGGTGGATTCGGAGGTCGAGCTTCTCGCACCGCCCGAGCTTCTTCACCCTTCTCATTCCGCCCCGGACCCTCCACCTCCACCAGCTGGGGCACACTCCGTCTCCTTCCATTCCACTCGGCGCGTGGCCGCCCGTGTGACGGGTGACGTCAGGTGCCCTTTGAGGGTCTCACCATGGTCCACTTCGATGCGCATCCGGATCTGTCGGCCTCCACCACCCTGCCGGCGGAGCTGATCTTGGAAGACCCCCACCAGGCGCGACGGTTCACGCGGCATCGCGCGTTCGCGAGGCCGGTTGGGTGGGGAGGCAAGATTGGATTGGCCACTTGGTTGGAGCAGATCACAAAGAATGAGATCATGTTTCGAATTATTCAGTGGTGGAAGTTTTATTTTTCATTTTTTTCACCCAGTAGGTGAATTATGGCATACCCCAGCTGGGCTACCAGATGTGAGACACACTGCTGTTATACCAACATGTGCCAAGCCAATGGCACCCATGCTGCACCGAACGGCAGGTGTACTACGCCTTGCGAAACGACGTGGCGGGCATTGCGCAGTGGATTCTGCCTGCAGCCTATGCTGGACACTTGAGCTGTGTTTGGTGGCCCGGCGTGGTGGCTGGCTCGTGTAGCGACTGCAGTGTATAGTGAATTGGAGCTTCTACTGCATCGCCGGGACAAAAGTAGGACCCTTCACATGGACTTGGAAGAGGACACCCTAGACCACCAGGGTGTCCTTGCCAAAGCAGTGGTTCTTGCATGTTCAAGGGAAAAGGGTTGGGGCTTTTGGTTGTCAAAACCCAGGTGGCTACGCCCTGCCTGGGCGCAGCAGATCGCCGATGGCGACTACCGTGCCCTGGCGAAAAAGTCAAAACGCCTTGGGGTCGGATATGGCGATGCCGGCGGTACAGTATGGGTGTGGAGGTGGATGGCTTGGGGTTTGCGCCAAGGTTGGAATCGTGTCCTTTCGCTGATTCGAGGTGTTCAGGTGGGACGCGCCCTGGCGCCGGTGAAGGCCGTGCGCCGAGCCGCGCAAGGCGGTTGTGGGTTGGGCAGAACCTGTCGCAGGTTCACTTCGGCTTCAAGCAGCTTTCAATGCTGCTGAAAGAGCTCATAGATTTTATACAGACGACATATGGAATTGGTTGCGGAACTCTGGACCCTGCCAGACCTACACGCGCCAGGCCCAGAGGCAAAGCGTTTGCCAACGGAGAAGGTGCCCGAGAAGACACTGGAAGAGCCGGCGCAGGCATTGGGGTTGATGGTTTCGAGTGGGAGCGGAGTGGAAGAATCAAACATGGCGCGTGGCTGCGCTCGGACACCCTTGCATTTGTTGGAGGAAGATGGGCTTAAGTTTTTCTTGCGTAAGCATGCCGAAAAAACGAAGCCATCGTCAGTCCCCAGACACCAAAGACGGTTCCAGTTCGTTCATGTCTGTTCGATCTCAGGCCCACCGCAGCGGGGCGGAAATTCGTGCGTTGGCTTCCATGACAGACACCGAGTGAGTGGCCTCGGGACCAAAGAAGAAGGCGCTCTTTCTGGAGGGGGCCCTCCTCCTCGCCCAGCTCCGTGTCCTCGCCGGACCAGGTGGGCGAGGTGGACATGGTGGAATCCATCAAGATCAGCTGCGCCGAGCCCTACTTCGTGGAGGCTGGGGGGGTAGACCGAGCCAATGGGCTGAGCGGAGCGGCGATGAGCTAGCACGCACACACGGAGCTGCGAAGGGGCTGCATTCTGACTGGAGCTGCGAGTGGGGCTTGCCGGACCCTTGATCTTCCAACTATGCAGGTTTTTGTGGATTTGGTGGTCTCCGGAATGTATTTGAGCAGCTGGCTCCAAGATCGAGATCTTGGCATAGAAAAATCAACCTTCGTAGCTGGCACCCAGCAGCTGGAATCTAGATGTCTGATCCTGGATCCCTTGGCGACTGCCTCCGGTAGCACCGGCACAGGACGACATCTACCGCCCGCCCGCGGAGCTCCGGGCACCGCGGCCACTGCGGCTGGCGGTGTCGCAGCTGGACGGGACGCCGCCCGTGCAGCTGGGCCCATTGGATGCAGCAGGGGGGGCGGTGGCCGAAGCCCGCCCAGCAATGGGGGGCGTTGGTGTCCCGAGTGCAGAAGGGGGGGGTTATACACGTGCACTTGGAGGACAATTGTTGGGTTTTGGCATCTGGAAAGGCCCTGAATGTTCGACGTGCATCCTGTGAGATTTTCGAATGGATGCTTGGCAGTATTTTGCACTGTTCTTCGTTCCTGGTCGCTTATTACACAAGGGAGCTGCATGCTGGTAAGCGGCTTTACTTGGACAAACCCTTTGGCTTGCTAGCTGGTCAAGATGGCCATCTCGAGCTACCAATTGATCAATTGGTTTGGGTGTAGGCTTAGGCCTGTAATTTGGCATGCGAAAACGATGAGAGTGGCACCCAGCCAGCCACTGGAGTTTCATCCACTTTTAGCCACCCGGACCTCAGGCTTCCAACAAACCCACAGAAATGGACTCGCATCTCTTGTGCCAAGGCAGTGAGGAGCCGTGGATTCTGGATGCAACTTGGCCTGCATAGAAAGTTGGGTGTTCAAAGGGCGTCGTGGTGTGGGTGACCCAGACTGCCAGACTGCCCAGAAGTGTTTACGGTTGGAATTCATGAAGCAGTGAAGATCACGTGCAGTCGATGCTTGCGCCCGAAAAACCGTCGTTCCATGAGGTCTGCTTGGACTTCTTCGCGTGCGGCAATCCCTTCCTCACCCAGGCAACGTGGTCCCCCGCGCGTTCACCCGAAAGGTCGCACGTCCGAAGAACGCGGCCTGGAGGTCCGTGCGGAGATCGCACGACCCTTCAGCGAGGTGCTGAACGCCGCGAGCTTCCGGTCAGGCGAGGCGGCGTGAGCTTCCGCGAGCTTCCGGTCGGCCAGGTTAGGAGTGAGAAAATCATTGGCCACGGAATCGGATGTAGACGCTTGTGTTCGTACATGACATGACCCCCCCGTTTGGATTGAACAAACATTCGGGCCAGAGTCTACAGTACCGGAATCTCATTAGTGTGCGGTGGCAGGTTTGCCAAGATTGCATCTAATTCAGTCATGGAGTCTCAAAACTATTGTTGGGCCAAACCCCCACATGGACGACCAGCAAGACTTTGGTTTCCCATAGTTTCTCAACCCGCATGATGACATCCACATATCCTGGCCCCGAAAGGAAGGCGTTTTTCCTCCACCCAGAGGGGTTGTGCCATCCACTTTCATGGTGACCTTTTTGGAGGGCACCAAAGCAAAGGGATCGCACCCCACACACTTGCACACACGCTTTCCCCCGCCCTCAGAAAGGGAAAGCCATCCACGTTCGTTCCAGGGAGGGCTCCCTCCCATCACTCGACCGGCTCCCAGGCACCCAGGCACCGGCCGCTCCGCTTCGGCCCAGGCTCTGTGCTGGACGTCGCGGCGTTCCTCCGCGCGCGCGACGCCTTCGACGCGGCCTATGACCAGCTGCTGACCGAGGTGGAGGGGGGCGTTGGTTGCGCGTCGTCTTTGGCCGGAGGAGGTGGAAAAGCCGGAGCAGCGCTGGGGAGTGGAGGTGGAAAAACTATGGTTGTTGGTGGAGACTTTCACTTGACAAGGCCAGAATCCCTGGGTGGAAGGAGCCAGGGACAGCCGATTGGAATGCTCAAAGGTGTTAGAATCCCTGATCTGTTCCACACCCCTGGTGCCATGGCTCAAGCTGCTGTGCTTTTGTGGAGGGACATCATGGAGGCTTGGAAAGCCCACAGCCCAAAGAAAGCCACACTTGGGAGATACAGTATCCACTTGGGACACCCTCAAGTCCTGTTAAACACCCGTGATCGTGGCTGGATTCATCTCCAGTGCCTCTTCTACAACACGCTGGCTTTTGATGCCGAAACCTTTCAAACAGCTTACCATCAACCAAGCCCTTACGTCCTGGTGGTGGTTTCAGGATGTTTCATGGTATCCTCCTAGCCTCGGCATGACGGAGGTCTGATCATTGCCCACATGTGCTTCAGTAGTGCCATCTCAACTAGGAATCACAAGCCTCATGTTGGGGAAAGTGGGCCATGTCGGCCCCATGGAGAAGTCCTCCGTGGATGCCGACGAGCTGGATGAGCGGACGCGATACCAGCTGAAAGCGATCCTCCAATTCCTGCAAGAGAAGGACTGGGTGGGAACTTGGCTCAGAGCCCTCGGTGGTTGGCTGCGACAAGTGCGGCAGATGCCCTTGTGGTTTGTTCCTCTCTGATTGTGCCCATTTTCGGTCGTCCCAGTGTGTCCCAGTCGACCTCAGCGCACCTCCTGCCACGAGAGGCCGGCCTAAGAGATCTAAGAGCCGGGTGGTCGTCGACGGTGCCGAGTGGCGTGGGTCCAGGCGCTCTCCGCAACGAAGGAGCTCATCGAGAGCTTGGTGGCGCTGGAGAGCGAAACGGGTGTGAAGTATGTGGACCCTCGGAGGGCACCGACCGGGGCGAAGCTGGGGCGGAGCAGGGTAGATGACCAGACCACCCAGACACTGGTTCTTCTTGAGCCTCAGAACCACGGGTGTGAGACCCTGAGCAGGATGGTCAGCATCTCATAGCATATCTCATCCCAGGTGTTCAACCAACAGGCTTCCACTGCAAGGTGTTCAGGTGGGGCCATTTGCATATCACCAGCTTCATTCCTGGGGTCCAGGTTCCCCGCTACGTTTGTTCGACCATGGGTTGATAGCAGGTTGCTTGTTGAAGCCTTCTTCTTCTTCTTTTCAGATGATCTGAAAACAGATGAAACACATACTGACATACTGTAATCAAAGCAAACTTCCAGCAGTTCCATGCCGGGGTGCCGGTTCCGAACGGAGGAGCCCCTGTCACATGCACTCACTGGTTGGGACCAGAAGTCATTCCTACACCTGGGACTGCTTGCTTGGCAAATGATATCCAAGGACGGCGACCTGCCAGTGGCCGGGCTGCTCCAGTCCAGCCTGGACATGTTCGGGCGGAGTGGTGCGTCCTCCGGAGCCGCCGCGGAGTTGGAGGATGCGGATGCCAAGGTGGGAGGAAACAGGTGGAGGGCTTGGTCCATGTCGGGGTGCCTATTTGACAGAGGATAGGGGTGCCCTGGTCACATCCACTCACTGGATGGGACTAAAAAACCATTGCGACCTTTGGTCGATGAAAAGTGGGGCCTGAAAACACCTACCAACTCGCGAACACCGAGAAAGACTGGCGAAAACCAAGAACGGCAGGCCACCAAGTGAGGCCGTGCGAAAACCTTCTCGCAAGCAATGACTTCCACCCTGTGGATGTCCCGAAAGGGACTTCTCCTTTCGTTCACTTTCGGGAGTCGACCGGCCCCGGCTCAAGCTCTGGAGGAGCCGTCGGCCGTTCCCGGCCGAATCAATGGCCGTGGTTCCATGGTGTCATAGATTTTCACCCCATCTCCCAACATTTTGTTAGAACAAAGGCGCCAGCAAGCATGTTTTAAGGATTGTTTAGGCCTGTCCGCATCGAAGCAGGAGTCAGACTCTCATGGAAGATTGATCATGCGGGACTTCACGTGAGTATACTTGCCTCCAATGCAAAGATAGCCTTACACGTGTTGAACATAGTATATAGGTCATTCCTATCTCAACAATACTGATTGGCATGCTGGATTGATGAGGAGTTCCCATTACTGCGGGCCAACATTCAACACCAGGGTTCCAAACGTGTTTTCAAACATTGGCAAGAACACATTTTCTGACTCATGCCTACTCAAGTGTTTGCAAAGCGATGGTCAGCTAGCCACCGCATTCTTGGGCGAGTGCCATTGGCCAGCATAGTTGGCACGTTCTGTGCTTGCTCAGCCCTATGGCCATGCAGAGTTTATCAACATCGATTGCCATTTTCGCTTGTACATACGGATGTTCTTCATGAAGGTCCAGATCGCGGGGATGAACAACTAGATCGACTAGAATACTTAAGCTTTGCTCCAAGTGGGACAGTCTTTCCGATGAATACAAGAAAGAGTTCATTGAGAGGAACTTCGGCCGTTTGAGAGAGGGATTCACATGGGCAGTTTTGCGAGGCTACTTCGGATCAGGCAGGATGCTCCATTACTTGCAAAGCCAAAGGTTCAACAGTGAGATGGTGGCAGCATGTCGCCATGCCCTTGGCGATGATATTGTTGTCCAGTATATTGGGTCCCTACCCAAGGCCCTTACTTCCACACATGGCTCTGATATCGATATTCAGGTGAGGAGGTGTCCAGGAAGCAATCAGGCTGACACATGGTTCACGGAAACCGACAAGCTCAAGGTGGCACAAAACTTGGAGAAATGCAAATCTGTCGTGGGGCCTGTTACTATTGGAAACATTGCAATTAAGTTCAGCACGCATGACGCAATACCTGTCGACCTTGTGCTTGCAACTCCCCGGCCGGAGCAGTTTCCAAGGCTTCGTGGAGGGGAAGACTTCTATGAGAATTCAGCGCGCATCAACAAGTGTTTGCAAAGAACACCTGCAGCTTATGTTGCTGTTCTTGCAGTCAAAGAGTTCTGGAAAGAAGACAGGCGACCAAAAGGCATACTGCTCGAGGCCATTGTATGGCGCCTTTCGCAAACCTATCCATTTCCGCTGGCAGAGGAATCTTTTTTGCTGGAACCTGGAGAGGAGCAACTATCAATCGAAAGTTTTAGTTTTTTTGTTTATGTTTGGTCTGCGCTGGATAATTGGGAGGAGTCACCTTTCGGAAGTGATTTGAAACAAGATCTAGACAAGCTACCAGAGAGGGAGCGGGACAAATACCTGCCAGGAATCGAGAGGTTCCAGCAATGCGCCCATGTTTATCTTTTGTGCTTTCTCCGCGACATTCTTGACGTGGCAGAGGAAGAGTGCCCCGACGGTGTGCCTACCTTGAAATTCAGCTTCGGGAGTTCTTCCCTTTTTATGCTTGACCCGCTGTATACGCGGGCTCAGCAACGATGCACTAGCGGGAGAACATGGGCAGCACCCTAAATGTCCTCAACCAAGGTGCCGGCGTTGTTAAGCACCCTAGAGTTTCCAGCGCACGGCACTTTGTGTAGGGAGTGAGATTTCCAGGGAAAATGCATGACTTAAGCTCGTTTCTGTCTAAGCTTGATGATTTGTTTGTATTGATTTTACAACTCCAGGGAGCATTTTCGATGCAATTCACACCGTAATTACGTGTTGTGTGTCGGAAAGTTTCGTCCCTTGTGTTTTATGCAGCAGCCAGACGTCGTCAACACTTCAGACATTTTTGGCCCATTGTCTTCCACAGGCTTTGACCGCAGTGCCTTCCAACTACTACTGTGTCTTCGAAACTGATAACTCCGCACATACGTCATACTGTGGGGGTTCAACCCAGCTGCGCACTTAGCATGGATGCTATTGGTAAGTACGCCTTGAGGTGACCCCGCACTTGGTCGATCACTTGTGTGCCGGTCTTCACAGCTTGGCCACGCAATTCCCTGTTGAACTACCGGCAGAACTGCAAGCCCCAGGTAGCTGCCAAAAGCAGCCCATGGCCGGCTCCCCGACCAGGGTCTAAGGGGTTCTGAGGTGTTTCGGGCCTGGGCGTTGCCAGTGCCTAACGTCGCCTTCGAAGCCCAATGAATGGATAGAGGTGTCCAGGCCAGCCCCAGGGATAGATAGAGGTACGAGCCCGAAGTAGTTGCCAAAAGCAGCCTCCATACCAGGACAAGCCCCAGGTAGCTGCCAAAAACAGCCTATGGCCGGCTGCCCATGGACGAGGGTCCCGTTTCGGGCCGGCCGTTGCCGGTGCCTGGCGTCCAGGAGGTGTCTCGGCCAGCCCCCACGGACCAGGACAAGCCCGAGGTAGTTGCCAATTCCTGGATGGCTCAATCAAGCCACCGGGCTACCAAGGGGAAGTGCAACCACATTTGGCCGCACCAGGATGCCCAGAGCACCTTCTACCAGCACCTCTTCCGATGCACGTGGCCAAGGCTTCCCCGCCCAGGCAGAGTCAGGGCTCAATGGCTGCAACAATGGCAGCAACGACGGTGGCAGCTTCGTCGATGGCCCTGAGACAGAACAGGACTTCTATGAGCAGATCTCGGCCTCCTTCCATGACATCTTCGGCAGCGGGCCATGGCAAGCCGGCAACGGAGATGCAGGACCACGACATCGACATCCTAGAGGAGTTCGAGGAGGTGGAGAGCATCTACAGTTGGCCGCCGGAAGCGAAAGCGATTGATTGGCGACATGAAGAAGCTTTCCGGCTTATGGACCAGTGAGGTGATGACTTTGAATGCTCTTCCACCTGAACGGGATAAGCCCTATACATGCTTGACATCCTGGAGATCCTTGCTGGTGAAGCCAAAGCGACAAAGATGGCCAAGTCCTTCGGCATGAACGCTTTGGAACCATTTGACAAGAACGACGGCAAGGACCTCCAGACCCCAAGACCAAGAAACTTGTGGAGCATGCCATTCAGAGGTTCCGGCCCTATCTCTTGTTGGTCGGCTTCCCATGCACGCTCTACAGCATCATGAATGAG